CACACAGAAGTTATCGTGCAGAGGCAGTCGGCGGGTGATTTTCAGCTTCCGGACGACACTGCACTTTAATGTACAACACATGGAATCATGCCATAATTTAACGCTGGTTGTCCAAGAGGCATCCAACTAAGTTAATTTCAGACACTACAACCTACATGAGTCATCGGATTTTGAGGAAGAGGTTTTTATAAACAGATACCAAGTAATTTTTTAGTGAGGTCACTTCCAAAACGTTCTCTTACCTGAATAGAATAACATTTTCATGCCTACTCTTCTGATTTTATATCTTTTCAAGAGCTCACATTTTCATCAAAATAGGTAGAATATTTAGTTCTGCGGTTGGTTCAGAGAATGTCGGTCTCTACAAAAGAGCCATCGATCCATTTGAAAAAAATATACCACTGAAACTCAAATGATGAATTCGGAAATCTTCATTAGGAACAAAACTGTGCCTGCTCAAAAGTAAAACGGCTACTTTACATTTGGAAGACGTTACCAACCACAGTTTAAATGCGTCTCATTGGGGTACTGGTATTGCCATTACGTGCAGAAAATTGGCGACCATAAATGAAGCCAAAATCCACGAAAATCTATTGGAAGGGCCACTTTTGGTTTAGTTGTACCAACTAGCCAGCTATAAGTTTAACCTGCACTTCGAGATTGAACGTACATCGAGCATTTGAAAACTCCACAGATTCATCACTGAACATGTGGTCTGCTGTTTGTGACTAAAAAGTCCTACTATGGAAGTAGATTTAACCGACTTAGCCTTAAATGGTGTTTACCGGGAAGACATAAGAGCAATTCGCGCAAAGGAAAGTCTGAAATTGCAAGACCGATGGTGGACTGTAGATAACCAAACACCAGCTGTTTCCCGAAAAGCACGCAAAATCCCAACCGCGTTTTGCCTCCGATGTACATGTCAATCCTTAAATTTACCATGAATTAAAGTCAGGCATTATGGAGAATAAATAAATATCTCGAAACCCCTATTGATCAAGTTCGATAAACAATAATCCTTAGTCAGTCATAAGCCTAATTGGGAGAGCGGACAAGGTGAGGAGGATGGAGGGGAACGTTTGGGAAGACAATCACCAAGAGCACAACTAGATATAATTGGGCATATTTTGATATTGGGGACTCCTTCTAGACACTTGGAGCGAAAAATTTGGACCGCCCTATTTCAGGTGCACTGAGAACTTTCATTGCTTATTTCTAGATAACTAGTCAACCTCTCGACGTCCACCTAAGGCCTATTTTAAGTTTACTAAGCAAATTATTTAGCTGCCATAACATATTGCTCGCTCACAGTTTATGCTCAAATTCCCCTAATGTTTCTCCGTAAGGGGAAACAAACAAAGACTCGCGCAACAGCACCAATCTAAAACACTATTGTAACATGTTAGCCTAACCAACTCGACAAGCACATTTAGAACATCTTAAATGGAAACCGGAAGCCGAAAAATGCAGTGGTTTTTCACCCTCTGACAGATCATAGCCCATGGTCACTTGCATTGAAAATAGAAAAATTCAGCTTCCTGGATCTATCGTACGCCTTTTTCGTAATTGCCAGTTTTTTAAAATAAACATTCGTCAAACGTGATCGATAGACACGTCTGTTAAGAAACTAAGATTAGGAAACAGGACCAGAAGCTCTTGCCAACGGTCCTCGCAAGTGAAAAGTAGGCTTTTTCTGCGCTTATAAAACTGACCACCAGAAATGTTTTAAAGGAAAGATTGGGTTTACTTCGGGGGAGAATGCAGGTAAAAGAATTCACCGAAAATATTGTCGCTGCGAGCACAACAGGACAACCCGATCATAAATGAATGATAAAATCACGAACTACGATAGTCTGTGCAATACACCAAACGGTTTCAGATAAGAATGTGATTTTTGTCGCTTTTACTTATTAGCTCCAGCGACCATGACGATAAAGTATTATCAACAAAGGGTAGAGCGGTCGGAATGGCCACTTTTAGTCACCTGCGCTGAACCCGAAGGCAAAGAGAGCCAAGGTCCGACACCAACCTCAAAGTTATCTTTTTGTTATGCTAATCTGTCAGGTCGCGTTCCAGGTTTTCAGAATGGTGCAATTTAGAAGCCGGAGGCGGACGGGACTACAAACTAGAAAAATAAAATTGTTAACAACCAAATTGTAGGCCAAAGTTTTCAACCCAATTTAAAAAGATTATACTACACCGAATACTGGTTTAAAATGAAATAAGCGTTTCCCGTCACTTTTTGTGTGATACAAAGAATGCGTTGGAATTGGAGTCGTACGGCATAATAGCCAGAGGTATAACTAGCTGAGACGTTGAGGACACATGATGACCACCGTGACTGTTAGGTCAGACACAAAAGCGTAAATTATCTGATCGTCCTCCATTTTTGGGGTCAACCCAACAACCGTCAATCAGGCGTTTTTGAACTGGGCTTCAGGTAAACATTTCGTTTTTTTTGCATTCCACGGAGCAAGATTATGCATTCACAAGGTTGTTGAGACAATAAATTGGTAAAATACTTCAAAAATATTGCTACCGAAAGTTTTCGACCACGAATCAC